TTAAATGCATGTCTTGTTGCTTGCCTTAGAAGCCACTAGCACGCCTGCTGTGGCGTGGGGCCAGCCAGATCTATCCGGCTGAGACAGGGAACACGCACGTCTCATTCGTCATTTAATGAGTGAAGACTTTTGGGTCCTTACTCATGCCGGGAAACGGAAACCTTGCACTGACCGGGTTAGACGGACCGCCTCCCGACTCATCATCGCGACATGACAGGGGATATTAGGCGGCACGCCGCCTGACATGCAACTAGTATGCAGACACACTACCCTGGTTACATCGGTCATTCGACCGGTCGTAGACTGGTCGCAATCTAGTCAGGTGCACCACGCACCGCATTTAATGCGGCGTGGTGCGCTCGCTCACACTGCCTTAAATGGGGGCGTCCACCTAACCCAGCACACGCGGCACCGCATGGAAGGGGTTGGGGTAGCCCGATCCCAGGCAAGGAGGGGCCGCCGCCGCCCTGCCTCAGGCCAGACCCCCCCCCCCCTCGGGGAGAGGGCCACGTGGCTACCGGGCACGGCCTCCTCCCTATGGACCTGATACCTCCGGACCCATATCACCAACAAATATATATATCCAAGCGAATTCCCACAGAATTTCACCTTAACTTAAAAATATAACCATATAACAATAATAAGATAAAAATAGTCGTCATCCCTTGCAACACATGGCATTTTTTCTAGTTAATATAAAAATCCGAGTTTACTATTTTGTGTCATTTCTTCGTCAATGTTGTCTTTGCCAAGGACTTATCGTAGCTGTATTTCTTCCGGCTTGCATAACATGCATGGTAGCTAGAGGGAGTAGGGGAGGTTGGACATTTACCAAGTAAAATGCGACATATATGTGTGAATTTTGAAATCATATGACAGACAAAGAAACAAAAATGAGACTATGCCACTCAACTTTATGGTCAATTATAATATCATGTTTTTTCAATATGCACGCGGTAAGCCAATGCAGAGATCGAACCAAACAGAACCGTAAGATTTTTTTTATTTTGGCATTAATTTTGGGGTGGGAGGCTAAGGCCGTCAAGGTGGTCACGATGGAGGAGAGGGTGACCAGGCTCGATCGGCTCCTCGTCATGGCCGTCGGAACCGCTGCGGCGCTCGCGGGCTGCTACGCGAAGGGCAGCGGTGTCAGAGACGGTGGTGCGTGAGAGCCGGAGCGCGCCCTCACCAAGGTGGAGCGTCTCGTCTGATTGAGAAGGGGCAAATTAGTACTTTTCACGATTTTTCTCTATCGATCTACATCGGATATAATCAAATAAGGTTTTCAGTAACTAATTACCAGGCTTTTGCGGTGTTCTATAACCAATTTACATCTTTACGGTTTCCCATAGCTAATTACATGTTTTCTGGGTGTTCTGTTGTAATTTTTGACTTTACGATACCTCCCACTACTAATGATAGTAGGGTGGTAGAGGTTTGATCTTACCGTTGATTATGATGGGTGTTTTAGACATTTAATCCAATATCATATTATATTCGACTTCCAATTTAATTTATTTGTGCAGAACAGACCATTCTATTGACCTGCACATTAATCGGCTTCTATTGGCTATGATCATCGCCTGCTAGCTACCCATCGTGTGGCATCGTCGGCGAGCTCGCCGTTTAGATTGATCCTCTCGCTGCCGCTAGATCTCACCTAATTCCTATGCATGCAAACTGTGTACGTAAATGCACAGAATCACAGGAGCATGCCTATTTTCTCTCCAAGTAACTCGCACATATAATCCAATGATTAGCCAAGAAAATCATATTCGTATTACGGATCAGTGATCAGCGGCCCCACCAGCTGCATAAGGGTTTCACAGTGCAAGCCTCAGTTGCCAACTAGACCCAAGTCCCTCTAAAGTCACATCCTTCAAAGTGCAAGTTCGTTGTAGTGGGCCTCACCATTATCTTCTTTTTTTCAATCTTTCCTTCCCCTCTCTCTCCTCGTAGTTCTTCTTTCTCACTTTCCCCGTCGGTTTAGACGGCACCGGGCGGAGCCTCGGTCGGAGCAGCGGCGGGGCGATCCAAGCGGCAGCGGCGACGACGGGCAGAGAGGTAGTGTGGTGACCTAGGCGGCTTGGCGGCCCAAGCGGTGATGGCGTCGGGTTGAGCGGCCAGATCTAGCTTCGGGCGACGAGGTGGGGGGATGATGGTGCGGCAAGCTCACTAAATCCGACGGATGCGGCGGCTTGTCGGGCACGGCGCGAGGTCGGCCGTGGCCATGGCTTCCTCGTCGGCGTCATAGCCACTGGTTCCTCGCCGGTGCTGGTGACGAGCTCTGCAGCCGCCACCCTGCCCTCCTCACCTGCACCGACAAGAACCTCTCCTCTCCGCCACCAGCCCACCATTGTCTTTCCTCCTCCTGCTGGTTCCGGCCATGCACGGAACTAACGAGGCTTTCACTCACCCAATTTTTTCTGACAAAACTGACGAGGCTCTGGGTACCCAAATTGGACATGGGAACACCATGAAAACATGGTCCCCACTCCATTCTCTCCTCCACGTAAGCATTTTGTCTATTAGTTGTTGGGGCTGAATGCCACAGAGGCGCACTATAAACGCCCTAAGAAGGCCATGCAAGAATTTATACAAATTTACTTTTCTATCATGATGCTTTTTCCCCAAATTTGCCACTTCTACTTTGGATCAAAAGATATGGATGGCTCATATATCCATTGGAGGGTCCTCTTCAAAAAAAAAAAAAACTTTTTCTATTGGTCTTGTTTGCTTGAACCCACTAGCCGAGAAAACCGATGTCACATAAATCTTATCCACTAGGCATGACGCATCTGGCCCAAGGCCCACCAGCTCAGCAGTGGACAGCTCTTCGGAGCAACGAAGTGAGACAAAATAATGTTCCCGCCTCAACTAAATTTCTTTGTGAACAAGAGTCAACAGACTACCACTAGTTCTTTTGGCCTTTTGGGCTTCGTTGATGTTGTTGAGAGCCAAACGGTTCGTCTGAACGAAAAGTGAAGGAAATACATATGGCCCTTGCCTTGCTTTCAGAAAGAAAAAAATTGACACAAACACTGGCACAAACTAATATCCAAGTCAGAGTAGAAATGACATTACTAGATGCTTTGTTTGCTGCATACCCAGGCTCTTGATCTAAACGAAGGAAAGGAAAGCCAAAGGCGTGCAAAGAATTGGAAGCTGAATCCTAGCTACAAGTTCAAAGTTGTCAGCAGGTGGATTGTAATCATACATATGTAATCAGAGGGCAGCTGGATTGTGATTCTGATCTGAACACTTGAATATCAACAAAACCAAAGGATTAAGGAAAACATTCATCATGCATATATTGGTAAAAAAAATAAAGAAGAGAAACCTCGATCTTTCATTCATAATCAATGACAAATTACAGTTGACAGATTGCATGTTCTTCTTCTCATGCGAATAGACCATCCTATCTACGAGAATTTAAAAGATCACATCGCCTTCCATGCAAACCAAGAACAGAGGAAGACATGTTCTGATTCCACCTACTGCTACTACTGAACAGCGCTGATCACAATGCCAAGAAGGCCTCGGAGTTGGCACGCAGCTGCTCCTTCTCCAGCATAAACATCTTCAGCCGCGGCAGCTTCTTGCCGGCCGTGGTCGGCCGTGGGGCCGCCATGTTTGCCGGGGTCGGGGCCAGGCGCGGCGCGGGCAGCTTGACGTCCTTGACAGCGACGCGCACGGTCCGGAAGGGGTCGTCGCGCGGGAAGTTGCCGTTGTAGATGACCTCGAGGTGGCCGTCGTCGGCATCGGCGTCGGAGACGACGACCGCGCCGAGCCACATGACGAGGCGCAGCGCCGTGGTGCCTAGCCTCCCCACGGGCGTGCGGACGCGCACCTCGTCGCCCTTCTTGAAGGAGGACATCTTGTTGATGGGCGATCCTGATCCTGACGGCTTCTTGGAGACTACTCTCCCCTGCGCCTCGACGGTGAGCTCACTGCGGCGGTGGATGATCGGGCGCGAGGAGCGGGGACTCGAGCAGCGGAGAAGCGCCATGGACGACGAGTGCCGAGCGCTGCTGCGAGGATGGGTGGAAGGAATCGTGGTGAATGCGGAGGGAGGGGGCGATCGGCCGGGGCTGCGAGGATTTATCGCCAGCCGGGTCCGAGTCCGAATTGAAGTCGGCGTTGTCAGGCACGATCCATCAATCCGAGGTCGACTCGGAATCGGAGACGTCCGTTACGCCTCGCCACCATCACGCAATCCATTCCGAATGGCGCCAAGCAGGCGGGAACGCGCAGCGGAGATAGGTGTATCGCCGGCGGCGGCGGCGGAGGAGAAGGAGATGACGGCGGCTCAGCTTCTGATTGGTCTTAGTACATCCGAGCAACTGATTGGGCTTATAAAGAATCAACAAATACAAGCGACATGATTCAAAATTTATTTTGCTTCAGTTTCTCATCATGTGATGGCCAAGTCAAACGTGCTAACGGCATTATATTTCAAGAGATCAAGACGCGAGTGTACGACCGGCTTATGGTGTGACATACCCAAATTTTTATTTTGGAAAATTCAACTGAACTAAAAATTCATGAAGAGTTTTTTCTCAAAAACTTTTGTTACAATCTCAACTCTCAAGAGCTTAATTAGTCACTAGCTAGTCACTAGACCACTAATTAAGCTTTTCATTAGGTTAACCCGATAACCAATCATCTTGGCTGAGTAGTAAAAATACGTATCACCAGTGAGTCAGCAAAGGCTCGCCATTGATGAGTGATGATGGATGGCTTAGAAGCTCAAGTGCTGCAGAATACTTGGCTCAAGGATAGCATTGAGGACTGGTCATGTACTATGAGACAACAGAGACAAAAACTCTTCCTACGCCTATAAAGAAAGAGAGGAGACCTTTTCTACCATTCATAATCAATGATATATATAGGTCATCGATTGCATGTCCTGTCACGCAAAGAATTCAAAACAAATTATCCTAACTACCAACAGTGCCTTCCAAGAATCCAGAAACAGAGGAGCCGCTGCACCTCACAAATGAACAATGATTTTTCTCTCTATCCCTTTTTCATTTCCTCATTCAAGAGAGAGAGAGAGAGAAACTATATAGGCTGAGCAAACAGTTGCAATGTACAATCAAGCAATGAATCATTATCCATCACCATCACCACAGCAAGAAGTAGCCAATTTACATGAATGTAAGAGTGCAAGACTATCCTTCTCTATTACAAGACCCCCGGTCACTGATCTAGAACCTGTCTGATTGAATGCTGTTGTCGTCCTGATAGTGTTTTAGGAAAAGAGACATCAAATATTATCCTCAAGTTTCCTTTCAATCCCTCGCCGATTGGCCATCCTTCATCCTTTATTACCAGCTCATACCCTGGGTACACGACCTCATCAACTTTGATCTTCAAGTAGCGCCCATCAAGTGTCTTAAGATTTATGGTACACTTTGCAAGTGCATCCACAAGACGAAGAACCCAATGAACTACCAGGTCATTTCCATAGAGGATGTAGGTCTCATGAGGTGCGATGTCAAGGGTCAAAATTAAATCATGGGGCGGCTGGCCGTAAAAATGGGACCCTTCATAAGGAAGTGTTATTTTTGTTCCTTTCCTTGATCCAGGCAGCACTTTAACTTGTAAAATTATTTCTTCATTCTCCACAGGTCTGCATAATATGAGAAGCCTAAACTTAGACATCAATTACATCCACTGTGTTTAAAGGATTCGCAGATATATGATTCCTTCAGTTGCAGATTTTTAAAACATAAAAAGACGGTAACACTTAAACAAAAGTGCAAACATACTCATCAGTGTGTCTTGTGATCCTCCTATGAAGTGCTACTGTCAAATCAGTTCCCTGGTACAGCTCTTCAAGGGTGCACATAAGTTCTCCAACTGTTGCTTGTGGATTATCCAATTGATCATGATAAATCATTGCACAGCTTTGTTCAGCATCTTGAATCTAATAAAATAAATCACAGTTAATCAAAAGTTCAAATTACTAATAAACAACACATAAAACTGCAGGAAGGAAAGAATGATAGTTACATCACTTACATTTCCATAGAAGAATAACGTGTGGGGTTTTAGGCACCTCAGCTGGTTGTATCTTTGCAATTCCTGTTGCAACAACGGTAAGAATAGTGGATACTTCACAATGAAGATCAATTCAAACTGTTCAGCGGAATAACCACCAACTTCCTCTATCATGAAGCATCTGTCTAACCGGTGGCAATTTGAATGTCGATAGTATTTAAAAAATGTTTCTGGGTCATGAGCCTTTTCCGGATTGTCATCAACACCATAGTTTTTGTGCTTCAGCGAAGCTTCCAGTAAATAATTCCCTTCGGTGATTTGAAACCATCTGTTTTGGTATGGAAGCTTCTTAAGTATATCACGATAAGCAGCATCATTGGTGTAGGCTAAGACAAACCTCATATGCTCATAAGCTTTGAAATAGAAAAGTATCCTGTTTTCGATTGGTATCAGTGGTGCATAATTGCAGATAAGATAACCATGCTCATGTGGATTGTGCAGCATTAGAGACATTAAAGATCTCCAGTCCTCTGGTATTTGGTCCATACTGTAATTCCTGAATACAGTTTGACGGATCACATTACGAAGATCAAGATAATTTTGACAAACCAATTAATCCGTCCTTTTTGTCCTGGTGACAAGCCGGAATCTTATGTGTCCAGTAGGGGCAACCCAGATATTAGATTCACCAAATCTTGACAAGCAATACCCCTCTTCATGTTGATTGAATAACTCCACAGCCATTGATCTGACACAACACTTAATCCTCTCCTTAACAATCCAAACATTGAGTTTCTTGTATTCTCCCAACAAACTACACCGAGTGCTGTCTATATATTCCATCGCTGATGTCGTGAATTCTCTGACAGAGATAAAATACTTGTGATCTGGTAAATCACCATAGGAAGTGCCTATGTCATCCTTCATTATGTCGTAACCCTGAGATAGCATGCTAGTGAATGTTAAGACATTGTATAATTTATTCAAATCCTAATTTCATTGAGGAATTCTCCCATAACATAAAGGGCATTCACATTAAAATCTGAATAAAGGGCCTAAGGGACATTTAATACACTGCTGTACACCTAGTTTCAGAACATGAACATCTATCTAGTAGCTGTACACCTAGTTTCAGAACATATATATCTAGTATCTAAAACCACAAGGCATTTTTTCTAGTGAAACAAGATGATCCTTTTTACACTTTTCAAAGTCAATATTATGTTATTCTGTACCATTGCATAAAAGTATTTCAACATATGAACAGTATAGTACTTATACCCTGTAGATCAAGTTTGAAGTTGGTTCTTGGCGGAGTAATAGATACCAGTATAATCTACATTGTCAATTTTTAAAATTTCTTCACAAGCATTTGCATTAAATTTTAAGAGAAACATGCATACAAGAAGATATCCTCTCAAGAGATTAGAATCCATTCCCATATCACGAACAGAAATCATCATTATGCATAAGATTTGAGAAACAGAATTGACCCCTTGTTGAAATCAAGAGTCTTAGGATGAACTGGCACAGGCATGCGTTCTTTCTTCAAGAACATTTCATTTCTTGATTGAGAGAGACAAAGCGAGAGAGAGATGGCGATTCAACCTTAAACGAGGCGATGCTCTCAATCAAGAACGTTTCTTGATTGATTGAGAGGAGAGAGATGGCGACTAACCTTGAAACGAGGCGCAGCTCGGCGTGAGAAGCGTCCCTCCTCCCCCTCCCTGGCGCAGCTCGGCGTGAGAAGCGTCCCGTTCTTCCCTCCCTGAGCTTTTGTTCGTAGACGAAGGAGAAGAAGCGACGTTCCAGCAGGAGAACACGAAGGAGAAATGCTGGAGAACGCAAAGAAGAAGATGACACGACGTTCTTCTCCTCTTCCTCCTCCCAGGAGAGGAGGCGCCCCCTGCTGATCGCCGGAGATGACCTCTCTGCTTTCTGCTTTCGTGGCAGACCAAGGAGGAAGAAAGGAGGTGTCAAGCCGTTGTAGAAGAAGAGGTGAGTAATTTAAGTATTGGACCGCCAGGCCCACCACAGTCTAACCATCCCCATGGGCCGTATAGCCCACGTTCGGCCCACTCCTCCTCTGTCCTGCCATCGCCGCCGCATCCTCTCCTCTGCGCGTGGACGGTGGCCGGCGGCAGCGGCGGCGCGCCGGAAGTCTTCATTCAGCAGCCGCCACCCCCGCTGGTTAGCAGGGCTCCTCTCGTGCTGCCCTTCACCATCCGTAGCGGACTTGCATAGCGCCCCGGCGGCCCGGACCTCAGCGAGTGAGTGAAATCCCTCGGGCGGCAGTGTCGCCGGAGCAACCTGCCGCCACCGCCAACTCCACGATCGCCGCACATACTGGATCTCGCACTCGATCTCTCTCTCTTTTCCTCAGTACTTCTTCGTGGGGGCGGTGAAGATTGGGGATCAGCTCGGTGGGAGGAGGCGAGCGACGGAGGAGACGAGGAGTCGGATGGGGCGACTGAATCAGAGGAGTTGTTTTTTTTTTTTCTGGTTCCACGCATAGACTGGAGTACTGGACCCACCACCTATACAATGACACATTTTAGGGTTAATTAGATCCATGCCACTATAACTTTTGCCAAATTTAAAAAATATCGCTACTATTCATCATATCAGCTATGTACCACTGGAAATTTTTAAAATTGAAACCATATCACTCCCGTCACTTTTTATGTCTCATCTCTCGCGCCGTCTCCGTTCCCATCCTCATCCCCTCTAGGACCCAAGCGTTCACGTGGCGCGATTCGCGGCAGAGTCGTTAGACGCGCGCGCGGAAGCGAGGGGGGATGGTGGCAGGCGGGACGCCTCCGCGCCGGCGACGAGGAGCAGCAGTAGGAGGACAGGCCGGGGCGGTTGCAGCCGGGCCTAGCGGGGTTCGCGGCAGAGTCGTCAGGCGCGCGCGGTGTAGGCACGGACGCCTCTGTGCCGATGACGAGGAGGATCAGGAGGAGGAGGACACGCTCCGCGTCCTGGTGTACATCTCCCTGATATGCCAGAGGAGCGCCGTCAGCAAGGACCTCGTTCGCTACCGCAACATCCTCTGCGCCATCGCCGAGATGCTCAAGAGCGGTAGCCCCTGACTCCGCCTCAAGTCCCTCCAGGTCCTCCGTGTCCTCGTCGAGGACAACGATGACGACAAGGTCGCAAATCCCATTCCCCAAGTTTCAACATCCCCCAAAGCAGATAAATTTTGCAAGAAACCAAGTAATAGTTGATCGATTCTTAGTTTCAATTTTGCAGAAGTTGGGGAAGGGCGACACAATACACACCATCATCAAGTTCTTGTCGAACAAGCTATCGGGGCATGAGCCGACGTGCAAGCGGATCGTCGCGGTCGGGACGGGGAGTAGCAAGTCGGAGAGCGTCGTTGCCGTCGACAAGGTGGAGAGCATGCTCTGCAACCTCGACCGCTTCGAGGCCAACGCCCAACATGAAGTAGGGCCGACAACGCCAGACTGCAACTACTCCTCACCAGGCTGCTTCAACGCCAACGTCAAGCAGGCCGCGATGGCCACGCGTTGGCGAACTCGGTGAACTCGGCTAGATCACTACCTCAGCGAGCTCGCACTGGCGAACGATGACAAGGTGTCATGCCCCGAACTAGCCCCGAGTGGAACTAGCCCGTGACACTCCAAATTAACCTGTTAATCGATACCAGTCCCAGGAAACAGTGATGGTATCACAGGAAGACAGAATATCACAGCAACAGAGGTCTCTTTATTATAGAGTAGGAGTACAGTCATTATATTGCGGACAGATCCCGAGCTCACAACTGCATTACAAAAGGGAAAGCGGAAGCCAAGACTTGGACCAAACATCACAGGCGCGACTTGGGAACTAGGTCGAAACCCTAAAACTCATCGTAGCCGACTTGCTCCTGGAAGAACTCCTTGTCAGCGGGATCCGCTTCATCTTCTTCAGCAACTGGGGGGGTTATTTATATAGAGCAAGGGTGAGTACGGGAGTACTCAGCAAGCCATGGGGATTAAGTGTTTAAATGCAGGCTTCAAGGAATGGCTATTGTTTTTTCAATTGATTTTATTTAAACTCTTTTCTGAAACAACTAAGTGAGTGCTTCTCAAACAACACGGATGAGACAGTGCGTCTCGTCCGGTCGGAGTATGTGCAAGGTATCAGTCTTTTGAATTGATCAAGGTTGGCATTCGGCCAACAGCTTTCAAACGGCCACCCGGGCCTGGCTGATCCCATCAGCCGCAGATTTTCCAAACATCGAACCCAAACCACATCAGCAAATTTTACAAAGCAGTAGTCAAACAAAACTACGCTAGGAATCACCTCACATCCGCCCATGACCGTGGGCATGGCTATTCGAACAGTTTAATAACCTCTGCAGAGGGGGTACACTTTACCCACACGACATTACTAACCCGGATCATCCAGCCCGTGCAGAACGGCCACGACTAGAGACCTTAAGGCTTTCATGACAAGGCATTTCGAAAGCCGACACAGGTTCACCATATGCCAACGAGAGGGGTCCCAGACCAACACCAGATTAGGTCCCAGACCATACTGTGCCAGGAAACCCGGGGGTTCTCCCTGACACCACCCCGTTGAATCCACATGTCTCTTGGCATCATGGTTCCCCCGATTAGCTAGTTACTCAGCCAGGGGTGTCCCATTCCACCCATGTGGTCGCACTTGTCTTATGTTCGGATGAAATTCCAAGGAAACGGTCCTTAAGTGCAAGAGCGGGAGACTGTACACCCGGTACGTTCCCCGGTCCGCGATTTTGGAAATTCATTTAGTTCGCAAGCACCGACCCAGGTGTCGGGTTTTCCAAGTCTTTTGTAAAACCCGAGTTTTACCCAAGATGTTTCTCAGATTTTAAGTTTGAAGGCAACCGTCGATACTCGTGCAGAGTGCACGAATACCGAGGCGCAACTAGGTGGTTACAAGGGAACATGATATAACAATTAACAATGGAAGGATCAGATGCAACAAGTTAGGTAGGCCCACCTGTCTGCCTTGCAGACGGGGCAAACAGATTAAGTGCAATCCTATCAATGCATAATATTTTGCAAGCAATATAATTAAGTTCAAATATAGGCTCAATATGTTCAAAGGTGGCTTGCCTTGCTCGAGATCTTGAGCTTGATCCTCGAAATCCTCGCACTGCGGATCTTCGGGCTCCGAAACTACACGCGAAACGGGACAACTCAGCAAACGGCGAAAATAAGGCCCTATTATTGACCTCTAAGCGTGTCATTAGGTAGATCTCAAGATTTGAGGAATTTTGGAAGTTGAACGGAGTCAAACGGACTTACGGTTAGGAAGATATTGAATTTCTAAGATTATTGGATTTTTGGTCTAAAGGAAAAAGGATTTATTTAAATCCTTTTTGAAAAGAAAAGAAGAGAAAAGAAGGAGGGAGGGGAATTAGACTTCCCTCGGGCGGCTAGGGCGCGGCCCGAGAGAAAGGGGGCGGCTCGGCCGAACTTAACGGGCCGGTCGGCCTGAGAAGGCGGCCCAAGGCATGCGCGCGGGTGGGGAGGAGTGAGGAAGCCGGTGGGCCGGGTCCATCCCGCGTGGTCCCGGGTGGGACCCGCTTGTCGGCGGCTTGGCTCACCGTGAGCGAGGTGCACGCGGGGCGTGCTAGGGTTTGGGGAGGGGAGGCGCGGTGCATGCGCGCGGTTCGCGGAGGACGCGGTGCGGCGGGCCCACGCACAGCCTCACGGCTCGCGGTGGACCGCGCGCGCGGGCAGGGCCGGAGGGAGCGGCGTACCGGGGTCAGCTTGACCCGGTCGCGGCCGAGGTGGCGCCGACGTGGCGCCTACGTGGCTGCCACGCGGGCCGGCGGGAGGTAGACGACGACGTCGGCCGGAACGGACGGCGGACGGCGGCGGCGAACCACGGCGATACAGGCGAAAGCGAGCACACCGGGAGGTTGCACGGGACGAGGGGAGACGAGCCAACGGCTCGGATTCGCCGGGGGATGCTCGACGACGGCGGATTGCGGCGGAGGCAACCGGCGGCGAGAGAAGGGGGAAACGGCGATGGCGCGACGGGAGACCGATTCGGGCGAGCTAAAGCATCTACGCGACTCCGAGAATCCGTTGCTAGCGTCGGATTGGGCGGAGCTACGCCGAGCGAGGCCGGCGACGAGCGGGCGCTACGGAGCACGGGCGGCGACGGCGGCGAGCACACAGCGAGCAGCGGCAACGGTCGGGGCGGCGCCAGCTAGCTACGGGGAGGCTACTCGTGCTACTACCCGAGTCTAAGGGGAGGAGATGGAACGAGGAGGGAGAACGGAGGGAGGCACTACCGTGCGGGGTGATGGGGCGTAGTGACGAGGGGCCGACGGCACGGGAGTGATCTCTCCGGCCTCGGGCAGGGGAAGAGGAAGAAGACGAGCGCCCGGAGTCCCCTTCCGCGTCCTAGCACGCACCGGCTCCTCCGGCACACACGACAGCGGCGGTCGGCGAGAGGGACGGCAATGGCGCGGGCGAAAAACGGGGAAGATTGGGAGGGGAAAAAGGAAGGGAGGGCGCCTGGGTTTATAGGGCGGCAATGTCGGTTTGGAAACCGACCTTGGGCGGTCAAGGCGCGAGCTGGCGCTCGGCGCTCGCGGCCAAAACGGCGACAGAGGCGGATGACGCCGGCGGGGAAGAGAAAAGGAAAAAGGAAGGGAGAAAGGGGGGTTGCCCCTTGCCTCTTTGGGAAAAGAAGGAGGGAGAGAGGGCGATGAGGAGGAGCCCTGCCTCCTTTCCTTGGAAGCACGCGCGGGGAGGGGCGGGGCCGAGTCGATGACGACGGCGATGACGGTGGGGGCGGTTTGAAACGGAGCGGCGACACGGACGGCAGGCGCGGACAGGCGCGGCAGAGGCTGACGGCGGCGGCGGCCAGGCGGTCGGCCATCACGGCGTGCGCGCGCGGGAAGCAACGGGCGGCGCGGCGATTTGGGCAGCGCGGCTCGGGCACGCGGCAAGGCAGCGGGGCCGGGCAGCGCAGACGGCGCAGGCGCGGCACGGGCGGCGACCACGCGGGCGCGTGCGCGAAGCAACGGCGCGCGGAGCCGATTTCGCGGGCGGGGAGCTCGCGGGGATGGAGGCGGGGAGAGGGAGAGCGAGGGGGAGGCGCTCGGCGCGGCTCACGGGCAGAGCGGGAAGAGAGGGAGAGAGAGAGGGAGAGAGAGAGAGATGGGCCGAGAGGAAGTCGGCCCATCGAACCTGAGGGAGGCAAAATAGACTTTTGCGGAGGGATTTGATTTGGGAAGGATAATTGAGATTAGGGTTTGGATTTGGATTCGGGACTTGAACTTGACGATAGATCGGGGATTTGAGATCCGGAATGGCACGGAGACTGACTGCAAGCGAGGAAACAATTTTCGCAATTAAGGTTTTTAGAAATTAATTTTCCCGCTAGGCGCCACGACGGAACGGGCGCTACACAAGGCCACGGTGGCCGAAGCCGTACGTAGCCATGGAGAGGAGGGTGATGAGGACGTGAACAAAGACGGAGTGAGAGAGGCCGATAATTAGGTTTTGGTACGCACGCATGACGAGTTACAAACCAGGAATCCTAATTAGGTTTTGGTGTGCAGGGGAGAGAAGTCGCGCACGGTTTCCGAACATGTTGCGACAAGCTAGGGTTAGGGTTAGGATTTTAAGGGTGGGGTGAGGGGTGGTGTTGTGGAGGGAATGCAGGGGAATTGGGCATAGAGGGGTGCCGTAGGAGGCGGCAGACCGGCAGTGGGTGGTAGGCAAGGGCGGGCGACGAGGCGATGGTTGCATGGCCGAAACTGCAGGTTCAGTAGCGACGGTGGGCCAATGTTGGTGGCGTTGGCAGAGTGAGGCAAGGGAGACGCCTGGGTAGGGCCTCTCTAGCACGTTGACTCCTTTCGGCACTGGCAAGGCCAGGCGGCCTTACGGTGGGGGGGGGGGGGGTGGGGTGGTGGAGGAGAAAGAACAAACCCGGTGGCGGTGGAGGACGAGGGAGCTCGCCCGAGGGTTGTAGTCCTCGCCTGCTTCGCGCACCATCGTCATCGTCGTCGTCACCTTCTGTGTTGGGGATGTTCACCGGAGGGAAGAGGGGACCATCACTGTTGTCGTCGCTCGCTCGATGGAGACGCGAAGACGAAGAGAAAGACGTATGGGATAAGGTAGAGAGAGGAAGAAGAGAGGTAGGCTGCACATAGGCCTCGCGCACGACTTCCTCCGTCAGCATGTGTGCGCTAGGTGCCCATGTTGCTATAAAAGTTGCGAACTGAGCTCAGGCCTCCTTTCTCGCGCGTATGCACCCGCAGCGCACATTTTGGCCCATCTAGCCCATAATGCTGCCATCTAAAGGAGAAAAGACAGTCAACAAGACCACTGCTTTTTCTCTCATCTCCCTGCCTCTTTTCCCATTGAAATCCGTCAAATCCAGATACGGAAGGGGAAGGGGAAAGAAGATGAATATGGACCAAGGTAAAATAAAGGGGCAATTTGGTACTAAAAATTTTACAACTGCATCAATAGGTTAAATAGTGGCATATCTCAAATACATGTAAAATTGTAATGACATGTTTAAAAATAGCTGAATAGTACCATCCGTTTCATAATGTAAGACTTTCTAGCATTGCCCACATTCATATAGATGTTAATGAATCTAGACATATATATGAATGTGGACTATGCTAGAAAATCTTACATTGTGAAACAGATGAAGTAATGGTATATTTTACAACTTACGATTTTTTTTTTTGAGGTTCATCCGCACATTCTTATTACTGGGGAGATTCAGTACGATCACGAATCACCAGAGTACGTACAAAATACGGGAGGGGGTCAACCCAGACCACAGACTGATCCGGGTCCCAACTCACACCAATCTTGGCTAGATTATGAGCAACATTATTACAGGATCGAGGGGCAAAGGAAACCTTCGAATTAGCAAAATGAAGTTGCAGCAGCATCTTGATTTCAGCGAAAATTGTAGCCCCAACAGCTTGGCTATGGGAGGATGACGTTACTGCTGAGACCAGAATAGCTGAGTCAGACTCGATCTCCACCTCAGTCACACCTTGCACCGAGATGGCCAGGAGGGCAGATAAGCATGCCCTTGCTTCCGCCGAAACAACATCATGAACGAATTCCAGCCGTCCAGCTCCTGCCAGTAATGCATGCCCTTCTTCATCCCGCAGCACAAACCCCCAACCACCCGTCTTGCGATTTGCTTGGTATGCAGCATCAACATTGAGTTTAATCTTCCCTGCGGGGGGCGGTGCCCAGTGTTTCATCACAGCAGCAGTAACACGCGTATCAAGCGTGTTTGGGTCAGCCATTTCCTAAACCATCGCGTTTTCACTCTGTGCACAACTTTCTCTGGCAGTAGCCCACGTTCCCCGGCGTTGATTTTGTTTCGGGCAAACCACCAGTTCCACAGAAGCAGTATCACCTCCATCCTACATTCTTCTTCTAGTAATAACACATGATGAACCACTTCTTTAGCTGATTTCAGATTGATTAAGTCTAGTCTGATCTGCTCCTTCTGTAGCAATCGCCAGCACTTCTTGTTTTGTTTACATTTCATAATGGCATGAATCTAACCCTTTAGTTTCCGTACTTCAACTCCCGGAGCGCGCGCGCGCCAGAGGCCAGAGCTAGCTTTTTCGAGGCCGGCCGAGTGCGAGTCGGACCGCAAGAAAAAGAGTGGCCGGCCGAGTGCGACCGATACCGATGGCGATACATACGGTCTGGCTGGCTGGCGGCGCGCCCGTATATAGCCTCGCTAATTAAGCTACAGTACATACGATACGATGTGTTTGTTGACTACTAGTATGGCGGGAAAGGAGCGGAGCCACGTGCACTTGTGCCTCACCGACTACAGGGACGGCACCTACACCTACACGGTGCACCACATCGACGTCGCCCCCTTCTTCCTCCGCTCCGACGACCCCGACGTCCCGGACCCGGGAGCCATGGAGGAGGCTGTCCTGCCCCCACCCGCCACGCGCCTCGCCACGCGCCCGGAGACCAACGGCCTCGAGTTCCACCACCTCCTCCGCGCCGCCGACGGAGGCGACATGATCGTGGCCACCGACGACCAGCGCCGCACCCTCATCTACGACGTCGCCGCCCGCGCCGTCGGCCCGGGGCACATGCTGCTCTCCGACAAGCGCGTCCCGGTCTCCGCCGCCGTCGCCGACCGCCTCTACGTCCTCGACACCTCGCACGCCGCCCGGCGCGCCACCTGCTTCGAGGCCCTCGTGTACGACGGCGTCGAGGACCCGCTGCGCGCCGACTGGTACTGGCGCCGCCTCCCGGGCCCTCCCTACGCCGACGACGGCATCGGCCGCCCTCTCCCCGGCTCCCGTGTCACCGCCCTCGCGGTGGTCGGCGCAGGCATCTGGACCACGACGGCGCCGGCGGAGGACGGCGTCGCCTCCGTCCGCCCCTGCTCCCGGCTCGACCCCAGGCGCGGCGTCTGGACGACGCCCAAGGGCGCCGGCGCCGGCCCCGGCACCTACTCGTTCGACACCGAGCGGCAAGCCTGGAGGAGAGAGGGCGACTGGGAGCTGCCGTTCGCCGGCAAGGCCGAGCTCGTCCCGGGCTGCAACCTGTGGTTCGGCTTCTCCCGCGCCGACGGGTCGTCGTCGCTCTGCGCCGCCGACCTCGCCGCGGCGCCGCACAGGGCGTGCGGTGTGTGGGAGGACTTCCGCCCGCCCAAGGAGTGGTTCAGCTGCGGCCGCCACCTCGTCAGCCTCGGCTCCGGCAAGCTCTGCGTCGTCAGGTTCTTCGCCACCGACCCCCTCGACAAATGGAGGCGTAGGGACCCTGTCGCCATCATCACCGCCATGGAGGTGCGGACTATGCCTGCTTGCGACGGCGACGACGACGGCGGAAGAGGAGGAGAACGGCGGATCAAGGTGGTGAAGCACATGTCTAGGTGTATCAAGCTCCCAAATTACAATAAAGGCAGAAATTGGGTTCTCTAATACTCGTTAAATTTCACTCTAAAATGCACAAGTATGATTTCTTTAATTAATTTATAGATCTAAAAGATGTATGTATCTACATAAAATTCAATGCAACTCCAACATTTCCTTCCAAGTAAATGGTATTAATAATCTCTCAAAAGTGAAGGATAAAGATGATGTACTCATGGCGGCTTCTCAACTCTAATTCCCAGTGGTTTGCTTCATCCTCCTCTCATCCAAACGGATAGCTGCTGTTTACAATTGGCTTATTAATCCCTGTTCAGTCCCCAGATAGTTATTCACTTGTCCAAAGCCTGTCCATTGTCTTGATTCCTACTACTTTCCTAACCAATTTGTGCAGGCAGAAAGAAACTTCTCCTGCAAAGCAGACAACTTACAAATTAGGTTGAGTTATTCCACCTCCAAACAAACTACAGCTTGAAGATGCAGTTGAGACTGTAAAACCAGCCCTTGAAATTTGATTCACCGCATCGGAACCAGATCCTCTGACGTAGCGGACGTCCGATGGCTCTCGTCCGTCCATGCGGCATCGGACGGAGTCGAGGCGAGCATAGTGAATAGGCTCGGCCCATATGGTATAAAAATCGACCCACGCGATTCACAACCATCGACGCCAGTCGCCACCTCCGAGCCACGGCCGCCGGCGCTGCTAGGAAGCAAGTCGTCGCCGTCGGCGTCACCACCACAGCCTGCGCGGCTGCGCCTCCATGTCCTCCCTCGAACGGGAGCCTCCGCTGCGTCCGCCGTGGAGGTCGCGGACCGTCCGCTTTGACGAAACCATGACTCTTGGAGGTCAACCTGTCATGGAAGATGCAGCAAGAGGGAAGCAACTTGTCCAAAGCAACAATGCATTGTTGTGAGATTTATTGTTAAGAGCATCATAAGTGTTGCAATTTCAACACAGATTTGATCCAAGTCTGTATTCATGTCAGTTCCGTTCTCAAATTGCAGCACTAAATTAATGATGTATATGCGAATATACCTTTGTTTTTGCCATTTTGCAAGCAAACATTAGGGTTTCGTCAAATGCTCAATGCAGCAAGAACAGCACATTGTAATGTTCAATGTTTACTGTCGAAGCAGCATCAACACAAGTGACATTCTTTTGCTAGACTGAAGTTTCACTTCAATTCCTTTAAACGTACTGAATTGAAAACGAAAAATTGATGCAACTACAATCTTCACATTCTCAAATAGACACAACAATCAATCTCAATTGGCAAAGGCATTCAGTCATCACATTCAGTGTTGAGTTACAAACTTGCAATCCCAATTCACATCAATTTACAATATCCATTCATATCAATTTTAGATCTCGATCTAGGATTTTCAAGATGCTGCCATTGCAAGCCCTTGTAGTAGGTTCTGGTGATGATATTACTTTCATCCTCAAGAAAATTGAAACTAGGAATCAGTCGGCAACCTCGAACAACTGCTAAGTGTATATAACCTGCTGCTGCTGCTACTAACGAATTAACAGGAGTCCCCTTGAACTTTTATGCAGGGATGATTTGAAGGAGTACACTGCCGGCAGCGAGCCAGCAACATGCTAAGGGAGAGAGAACGCAGGGGCGAGAGATGGGGAGGAGGGCAGCGACGAGGGGAGGGGCTTCTTCCAGGATCCACTCCACCCGCGGATGCGCCGGAGGAGACGACGAGCGGCAGTGAGCGGCCGGCCGAAGACCACGGGAAATCAGGAGCCATCCCGATTTTGCTGGCCGAGAAGAGGATGGTGGCAACGAAGGGGCCCTCGCGCGGGAGACGCAGGCTGTGGCGGTGGCGACGACGCCGACGGTGCAGAGGTCTCCCCTCCCCCATTTGCTTCCTAGCCGGCCGCGGCTGTGGCGTCGATGGTTGAGGATCGCGTGGGCTGATTTTTCTACCATATGGGCCGAGTCTATCCGCTGTGCTCACTCTACTCCGTCCGATGCCGAATGGACGGACGAGAGCCGTTGGACGTCCTAGTGCTTTAGGATCTGGTTCCCACAGCATCAGTACCCCACCCGGTCATGAACACTTCCGTTTTTTTGACAAATTGACCCTTTTCAAAAACTTATTTCGAAACTAACCCCTGCCAAAAACTTCAACCAAAACTAGGCCGTCGGCTCAGCGCCAAGCGCATTGGCGCTGAGGTTGGCCGTGTCAGCGCCAATGGGACTGGCGCTGACATTGTGCCACCGTGGCGGCCGGGCCGATCCCCTAGCTGACGTGGCAGGTACCTCAGCGCCAACCGCTTCGGCGCTGAGGTGCCCAACCTCAGCGCCAAGTAAGTTGGCGCTGACCTTGGCTACTTAGAGCCCGGCCGAGGCCGCCCCAGCCAGTTCTTCCTCCGTTTTTTCCCCAGCCGCCCGCCTAGGGTTCGGTCGCCACCGCGTTCTCCTCGCCCAATCTCCCCCAAAAACCTCTCTAATCGAAGGTGATTTGTGCGGCATTGAGTTTGGGATCGGAAGAGAAGGTAAACCCCTCTATAAACCCTAAGTTCCCCAAAGTTTTATTGGATATTTTGCATTGTTTTGGTTGTAGACGTGGTTTGATAATAGTTGGCTAAGGATGGATTATTAGATGGATAATATGGGTGGGGATGAAGTGTGGAGGTGGCATATCTTTATCCATTTGGTTGTTATTGATACATTTGACAAAATATATTTGGGATGGATGTTTGGTGATGCACTAGGGTTTGATGGGAGATGGATGTGTGGTGATGGCCTAGGATGTGGGATGGATTTGTGGTGATTGAGAGGGTTTGAAAGGGGTTGATGTGTGGTGAAGGGTAGGTAATTTGTAGGAGTAGAGTTTTTTTTTATCAATAATGTGTAGTATTTGAGTAATGTACTTATTTATTGGAAAAATTAGACATGTTGTTAGCTTTTGAAGTATTGGTATTGCAATGGTAATTACATATTATTTTCAAGTAATTAATGTTTATGCATGGGTTAAAAATTGTAGATGGATAGATTGGTCCGGCTTCATTATGGTGGTTGTGTGGTAGATGAAAGTACACATGGAAGCCAATTTGAGGGAATGACAGTTAGACAATTAGTGTTTTTTGCGAAGCCTACCTTTGAGGAGTTAATGTCTCGCATCAAGCATGAATTGGATTGGAATGATGAGTCGGTTGGTATGCAAGGGAGATACGATGTGGGCGGCGGTGTCATGTCACATAAGTTTATGTTAGACTTGAATGGAGAGATCGAATGGCAAACATATATAGATATAGTATTGGGGTCACATTTCAAATCTCTTGAGGTGTTTGCATGGAAGAAAGATGGTAGGATAGGGAAGAAAGAACTTATAGACCTTAATGAAAGTCCACTCATAGAATCACCCATTAGTTGTCATGAACTGTCGGAGAGGTGTAGTAGGAAGGAAGAATTGATTGAGGAAGACGTGGAGGGGGGCGAGGGAGTAAATGATATGGCGGATGTGGAGGTCAGGGAAGAGAATGACCCGGTAAGGGAGGAAGTACATGCAGAGGAGAATGTGCCGTTAAGGGAAGAAGTACATGCAGAGGACAATGTGCCGTTAAGGGAGGAAGTTAATGTGGAGGAGAATGTGCCGGTAAGAGAGGAAGGAGATGTTGAGGATGGTCGGGAGGTAGGAGATGATGTGGAGTTGCCTGAGGAAGAAGCGAATGCTAAGAATGTAAGTATGGGCCTAAGGGAGTTGGCTAGGCTGAAATTCTATACCCGAGAGGAGTGTGAGGAGGCTATGATACGCAGTGGATTGAACCCAGGCTGGTTGGAGTATGATACAGAGGATGAATTGGATGAGTCCGCTTCCGACTCCGATGATGATCGTCCAGTGCGTAAGATGTCAGAGCATGAAAGGACTGTGTTTGCGAAACTGGTGGGTAGAAACCCGGAAATAACACAATTCGAGGATCTTACCAGATCTGGGCTAGCAATTGCTGATGGGGATCCACAATATGACGGTGCCTTCGAACCAATGTGTGATGAACCAAGGAAGGGGTTGGAGTTTCGATCGATGGATGATCTGAAAATATGGCTACAGAGTTATTCTATCCGTGTCCACCGGCCGTACCATGTGAAGGAATCTAACGCGTCAGTAAAGTATACTGTGGCTTGTCTCGATCGCCATTGCAAATGGCAGATTAATGTAAGGAAGAGTGGAGGAGATAGGTGGCGGGTGACTAGGGTGGGCGAAGACCACACATGCTGTAGTGCGGAAGTAACCGGCAAGCATTTGCAACTTACTTCAAGGTTTATTGGAAACAGGTTACAGGCATTTGTGCGAGCTGAACCAACTTTATCTCCAGCAGCGATTGTCGAGGCAGTTGAGCAAATATGGCACTATCGGCCTACGTATGGCAAAGCATGGCGTGCTAAGCAAGTTGCTATGAAGGTTATTTGGGGAGATTGGGACGAGGCGTATGTTCGCTTGCCTACACTGATGCGTGCCATCAAAGCAAAGAACCCTACCATGCATTTCCGTGTTGAGGCTCATCCCGAGAAGTCCAGGATGGTGGATGGAGTACAGAGGCGAGTATTTGGACGTGCATATTGGATATTTGGCCAGTCCATAGAAGCATTCAAGCACTTGAGGCCGGTGCTAGCAATTGATGGCACTTTCTTAACCGGTAAATACCAAGGTACATTGCTCACGGCAATAGGGGTCGACGCCGGGTTACATCTTGTTCCCTTGGCGTTTGCTCTGGTAGAGAAGGAGAATACATCCAACTGGGAGTGGTTCATCAACATGTTGAGAAACAAGTTGATCGGTCCTAATAGAGAAGTGTGTATAATTTCTGATAGACACCCTGGCATTTTGAACTCCATCATCCACATCATGCCTCATCACCTAACCATTCACCACAGGTGGTGCATGAGGCACTTCTGTGCTAACTTCTACACAGCTGGAGCTACGACTGATCAGATGAAAGATCTTGAGCGCATATGTCAAATAAATGAGAAAGCATTGTTCCTAGATGAGATAAAACGCCTCATGGGTGTGGTCGGAGAGAGGCCAAAGAAGTGGCTAGAAGACCATATGCCACTTAAGGTCAAATGGGCAAGAGCATTTGATACCAACGGGCGTCGTCATAGCATCATGACTAGTAATATGGCCGAGAGTTTCAATAATGTATTGAGAG